GGTAGTTCCCGACATTTAAGGTCCCTGGATTATTTTGCTGGAGCAGAATATCTTGGACTGAAAGGTCAGTTCTATGTTGTACTAGATTTGCTGTAATATGTCGACCTCTGGAAAAATCTATAAAGATTGTCTGTTCAGGCTCAAAACAGAAGGCCTTAGGTTCACTGCTTCGATTGAGTGATTGTTTTGTACATGCAGCTCAATAACTGTTCACCAGAACTTGTGCACTGTAATCGGCACAACAGTTATTCTACGTAGTTCCAAATAGGGTCGTTATAGGTTTGGATTCAGTTTTTATTTTATTTTTAGTTTGCCCTTTCAGTGTTGTGTAGTTTTGGTTTAAACTCTAGAACTTATAGTTTTGGCTGTTTTAGTGTTTTATAGTTTAATTTGTATTTCAGTATTAGATTTTCAGTGTTTTATAGTTTTAGTTTTTATTTTAGTTTTACTGCTTACTGTTTAATGAAAAGCATTTATAAATTATCTTGTGGCATTTTTTATGTTTAACGAAGGCGAGGCGAACCTTTGTTCTTCATCAAAAACTAACAATAATTTTTGGCCACTTTTAATTTTTAGTTACTTTTTGGATTCATAATAATTGTAACTTTTTTCCTAGTTATATTACTTTTTATTTGAATTTTTAATGTTTTTGTTTAGTTTTTGTTAATATTAGCACTGGTTCCAAACAGTCTTGTGGTATTTTCATGTTTAATGAAGGCAAGTTACAATTCTTTATCAAAAGCTAACATCAATTTTTAGCCAGTTTAAATTTTTAGTTAAAATTAATTTTATTTTAATTCAATCTTCCACATTTATGTTAGCTTTTATTTGAATTTTAATGCTTTAATTTAGTTTTTATTAACAAATTAGCATTGGTTCCAAACAATGACTGAGAACATAGAGAAGGTTTTGAAATGACAGAGTTACATACATACTATACATACTATAGAATATGAACTGTTTTATTGTGAATGGTGTGCTGTTGTCAGGACTAAAATTTGATTTGATTAGCAAAAATATATTCACAAATGTCCACATGCATGCTGCTTCTTATTCTACCCTTGCACTAAAACCATGCTGAACAGGGTGCGAACTACGGGGGAGCTAGGGGGAGCTCGGCTCCCCTTAATAAGACATGGGCTCCCCTGAAAACGGGATTTGTGAAATTTTGGGGGGTCTCAAAAAATATTGACAATGTGTTATTTTGACGTGCAATTTCAGTTTTGTGTAATGTGATCATCGTGGATTATTATGTGTAAAATTGCAAAAATATCATTCATCCATGCATGACGGCGATTTAAACCTAATTAACTTCAATAAAGATAACTATACATGCTATTCTTGTCATGAGCATCAAGGTGGGGGGGCGCTGCGGTGCAAATTCCACTCATGTTTAGTACATGTTAACCCAAAGATTCGTAGAAAAAATATAAACGCTGGACTCTGTGGTCGATTCTGTGTTAAGGTAAGGCATGTTATTCGCAATTATGTGTTGTGGCTGGGTTGTTATAGGTCTGCGTGACTCTCGATGTCTTAGGCCTAATTGAACGGAGGAATTATGGTATTCCTCTGTAGCCTGACGACGAGTAACTTTAACCGTTATTCATGTGAACTCAAAGACAGCCTGATGCTTTGTTTATAGACTATTTGTGGGTGGCTGTTTGTTGTTTCACCTATCAATTCGTGTCGATAAAGTATAATAGGGTAAACCCTGTATAGTGATTTATCCTATATAGTGCTTGCATTATGTATTTGTAATTAATTGTAAGTCCCCTTTTGAGCCATGCGCAAGCGCACGACTGTTCTCTATTATAACAGAGGCTCAGAGGATTCGCTCCACATGTCAGTGTTCTTCCTGTTAGTTGCAATGCTGTGGGTGAGAAACCTGCGTTGACTGCTAGTTCAAGTTGTGCTCAAGGCACTACTGTGATGTTTTGCGCTGTATTTGACCCCTTCTGTGTTCTTCAGGAGGGCTCTAATATCATTGCCAGTGGGTTTTGACCCGTTAATCTGAAGATACAGTATGCAAAGTTCCAGCTCTAAATTCTGATTCAGAAGAATGATTTGTTCATGAACATTTACATGGTTTCCTACAATTTTGGCATTTTCTTGCCCAAAGCTATTATATGGCTTCTAAAGACTTGAATGAAAAAAGTATATGATAGTTTTATGGTGCTTTTGAGTTCTTTTTGAAACTTGAAAGCTTTGGACCCCATTGTAATTGCATGGAAATTTCATTCTTTAAAGATTTTCTTTCTTTCTTATAACTTTCCTCATTTTATTTTCCACAGAAGGAAGAAAATCATATGGGTTTTTATGACACTAGGGTAAGTAAATGATGACAGAATTTTTACTTTTGGTTCAACTATTCCTTTAATATATAGTCGACAATTAGGAAAGGGTAGCCATGTAGAAAATTTGTGTCAGTGCAAAGACCATTGAAACAAAAAGCTCCTGCTTCAGAGCACCTCATTTGTATCCCGAACATCAAGAACGAAACATGCAAAAAGGTTATTTTGCCATTTCTAGTCCCCACTCTGAGAGGAGGACCAGAAGAGACGGAGCAGCGTTCTCCCAAAGAGAGAAAATCATCAGAGCCACTATAAATCAAACTGGGTGAAGATGACATGAACGCGCTGCTCTGTGCTCAAACTCTCCTCTTTTGTGTGTGGCTCTAGGCACAGGGCTATAAATTAGACATTGTGCTCTCATTGCTTGTCTAATATGGACCAGCAGTTCTGAAACCAATGCCCTGTGGCTGTGAAATCAGTGCATGAGGCTCATTCATCATGTGGATTTTTTAATCCGTCGAAATATAGAGACTGATGTCACCATTTACATCTAAGTTCACTCCCGGATCACTCGTGTTTGCTACTTCAGAGAAACAGAAGTAATAAAAGCTGTTGTAAGTATGACTTAACTAATAATGTGGGGCTACACTTGGGTGAATGCAAATAGGGCCAGCACATGGGTGCACACTCACACACCACTGATGCCGTGCAGAAGGGAAATCCCAACACAATTCCCGGCACCTGGTCCTCCCACAATATGAGATCCGGTCAAACAGCAGCTGTATGAAGGCAGCCATTGTTCTGCTCTAAAGGCTTGTGTTGAAATAAGGACAGGGACAATGACTGGTCTTAAAACTAGTGGTGTTTGCCTCTGCAAAACTTGCCAGTATGATGTTATGGTGTTGTTTGTGGGGTTTTTTTTCTTCAGTTTCTAGGTACTTACAGATGTGTTCTGCATTTGATGAAGAACTTGCTTTTGGAGTACATTCTACAAGTATTTATGTTTGTAGTAGGAGTACAGTCTGTACATATCTTCCATATTCAGATTGTCATTTATTAATACGATGACCCCCTGCGTCCATTGATGTAAAAGCATTGGATGAATCCCAGCGGAAGTCATTTTGGTATTTTTCTCCTCCTGTTTTATGAGTACTACTTATTTGATGTACTGCTTTTGCATATTAGTAGGGAAGTAGGCATATTCAGACATGGGTCTCTAGCTCTATGATATTCTGGCGCCTAACCAAAAAAATGAACAATAATAATAATAATAGTGATGTTTTCTAAAATATACATGGATACGTACTTCAAAAATTCACCAAACAAATAGTATATGCCACCCCAGCACCTTTTGATACCATTTTCAACATACTATGATTTAACATGTGCTAATTCTAACTGAACTGTCGAACTGGAGTACGAGTCAAGAGAATACTATTTCAGTTGTTCTACTTCAAAATTTCATATTTAATTCAGTGTTATTTGTCGTTTCTTTGTAATTATTTGTGATTTTTTTTTCCAATGTAACCTTTATAATATGTTCACCCAGCCCATTTTGGATAAAAAGAATACAAAAGAAACTGTTTAAACAGTCTGGAGCTGTGCAGGGTCGACCTGGTCATGGTATTTCTACAGGAGCCAGAGGTTTAATTCCTTTTTATATCAGAATACAGACATTTTGGTGTCTGCACATTTTTTTTTTACCTATTTAGACCAATAACTACAAGCTAAACAGAGGCAGAGGCCGAATAGTGCGGTTTGGGAAGGGATGAAAGTAGGAAAAAAGTAAGAAAAAAAGTGAATGCTTAGGGATGAACCATCAAGCACTTTATGGAAGAGTGAGGAGCAAAGCTGATTACACAGAGTCTGCTCTCTCTCTCTCTAAGTCCCTCTCTGGTTGTCTTAAACTTTTCTTCTCTTACTGTAAGCTATAATCCTTATTTCTTCCTCGTTTAATTTCTGCTCTTTCATGAGCCTCACTTGCATTTCACTGTCACTCTCTCTCTCCTCTCCCCGAGCTCTTTCCATGTGATTATACTTGAGTCTGTTCTGCACTCAGTCTCTGTTCCTCATCAGTTCTCTCTCTCTTTCCGTAAGACTCTTATACTTTGAGCTCTGCTAACACAAAAGACTCCCATCCTGCTCTGCCTGTCATGGTGCCAAGCTACGAGAGACATAGCAGCAGTCCGCTCACAGCTCTTCCCTGCACTGCTACATACTGCCATCATACAGACTTCTCAGCTCAGATTAGCATGTTTAAAAATGCCATTTTATCCCATGCTTCATATAAACTCATTACAGTGCTAGCAAGGCAACACTAGACTGATATTCCTTAAACATTCTGCTTATAGGGGTTTGTTTTAAACCCTTTTAACCATCTGAAAATGAATGCATCCCAAACAAAGACTTGACTTTGTAGATGCTGCAAAGGTATTTTGTAGATATTTAGATGAGCTGTCCAGTTTTCTTGTAAACTGTATACATTTCTAGAGGAATAGTTCACCTAAAAATTCGCCCTCATGCATTTTTTCAGGTTTTATTTTAAATATATATATATTTAAAATATAATAAATATTTATATAAATACATTTATTTAAATCCATATTTGTATTTCAATACATTTATTTAAGCATACACGTTTAGCATGCTAAAATTGCCTATCGTTGCGGTTGGACATCAATGAGATTGATTGGTTCATAACGTCATTAGTTCTCAAGTACATTGTAACCAAATGTCATAATGTTTAACCTGTGCCATAGGCAGTATTTGCATACTGAATCACAGTTGGTCTTCTTTGTTGCATGCATTTACATACCGAATAAGGATATATCTATTCAATCATCTGCAAAGATGGTGTCAGGTCATGTTGATTCTCACATAAAGCTCACGGAAAATGAATAATCTTATTTAATTTGATGAATTAATTTCATTAAATTTAAACCTAAGCTTACCAGAAACATTAACACCTGGCAAGCACTGGTACTTCCTTCAGAACATGCAAATAGTTACATATACTTTCTATTCCTTCTACAAGGATTTCTTGTTCTTGTTCTAGCATTTTCAGAAACAAACAACCAGCAGTGTGTGTTAGCCATCATGAGGTTGATTAGAAGTCTGTTGCTTTAAATATTTGATGGGATTTCATCTTGCTTTCCTCTTACATATTGGGCAGAACAAGTAATGCGCCCCGTAATAATGTTTTAGCACGGTAATTTATCCGAACGAGGAGTACGAAGAAAGGCAGGAGGGCTAGAAAATGGGGAAAAAGGGGTGGGTTAATGTGCCATTTACATTTTGGAGGCCTTTTTTTCCATTAGCCATTAAGTAAATAGCCCAAGGAAGAAATGGAGCTGCGTGCATCTCATTCACATCCAACTGCAGCTGAATCATGCGGTACAGGTGACCGTGACAATAAAATGAAAGAATGAAGCTATCTGCGGCAGTTGTGTTAGTGTGTAATATGCAGGTAGATTGAAAAAGAGGGGAAGAGATGAGCAGGACTATGAAGAAAGGCTTTGTGGTTTGTAATGGTGTCTGAACTGAGCAGCGGTTTGACTGGGCTCGAACCCAGATTCAACAGAACCGAAGAATATACGGTGAACCCCGATAAAAAGAAATATCTGTCCTTGGAGAATAGAAACATGTAGAAATACCTCTTCCTTTTTCCTACAGTGAAGGTAAATCCATGCCGCTGAATAGAAACGGTTCGATTGCTGATAGGAGATGTGACGGAGGGTGTTGTGAAAAGCTGTCAACTATGGTTAGGTTTCCGTATGGCACTGTTATTTAAATGAAGAGGAGAAGATGAGGAATTGATTACAGAAGGATGCTATTATAAGACTTTAACAAAAGACCTATTGAGAACTCTGCTTTTGTCTTGGAACAAAATGGAAAGATTGGTTTTTGATAGAGTGGCTGTTTGGAAAATAAGCCACTTTTGCAAATAAGAAAAACAATAGAAGAATTTAAGTTTTGAATGTTGGCGAGCTTAAGGGTCACGGAGTCTGTCCTGTTAAACAAAAGACTGGTAATTTTAAAGCAAACTGACATCTAAGTGAATGATGATGCTTCTTTCTGTGGTGTATTTATACACAATCGGAGTTATCTGTCTTATAACTAATGTGCTTATTCCAAAAAATAACTCTTATATTAGACTCTTTAAGCTTCACAATCTTCATGGCAGTGATTATAAATGAACAGTCGTCTATGTGTCACCCATAATGGCGTATGGGGGTGTTGGGGTGGGCCGTCCCGATAAGATAACTCACCTAATCAATCAGAGAGATTTTACTCTATTTTTTCATACTGATGCAATCGCTCCTCAAAATGCATTAGCATAATGGGAGAGTGCTGAAGGAAGATAATGTGTGAATTTTTGGGGAGTCGAGAGAGAGAGATTGAGTGAGGAGGCCATGCTTGAAAGACAAATGCCCCACACATACCAAAAAAACGATTAGAGATTGAAATCGATTATATCACGAGATTGCAATTATGCGAAAAGCAACACTCTGCCTGCTCTAAATGTCTCTGTGCTGTGGTTTAAAGAAGCTCCCCATCAGTATTTGTGTCAGTGTGCGAAAGTGTCTTGCACCCAAAAATTGACATTTACACATCCTCCAGATCAACACATTTCCACATATTTAAATTAGTTATGTACAACCTGGTGCAGAGTGTCATATTTGAATACATGCAATCTGATCTCACGAGAAAACCGAATTTGTAAGAATCTGTAAGGAAGCCTACAGTTTTTAGAAACAAGTGGACATGAAGGTCCCCCCCCCAAACCCGACTGTAAGCAGATCATACAAAAAGGTACAAATTCATATTGCACTTAGCCACCAATTCACCAAATGCTAAAATAGTTATGAATTGCCATGAGTGTTTTGATATATTTTGAGAACTGCCATTTAAAATGTCCACTTTTTTTGAAGCTAAGGTTTCAAATGACTTAAAGTGCATACAATCTTATGGACCATTTTTATGAGATTATTTATATATATATATTTTTTGGTGCCATTTTTGGAGATAATTGTCCCTGTTCACTTTCATTGTATGGTAAAAATAAAATTACACAAATAGTACAAATTATTTCAGTTAACAAAAGCAATTTTTAATAGTTTTAGTTGTAGTACATACTAATAATTCATAACTTATAAATTCTGTGTCATACCCAACATGTAACTTATAATCAATATCGAACTGTAACATAATGCCTAAAGGGTTTGCATATATCCATAAAAACTGCAGTGATCATAAAAAATGGTTTGGACAGCTTTGATTTTACATATGCTATATATATATATATATATATATATATATATATATATACACACACACAGTATATATCAATCATAAGAATTTCAAATGGCACATTTCCATCAAAGAATCACATCGTTAATCCTCTGTGATATTATATTTCTCCAGTCCCTGTGTAAATTAAATTAATTGCTCAGCTATGCCGTCCAAATTATTAAGAAGAATTAGATTAAAAAGTTTCCAATGATTATTGCACAATAACTGAATCTCTGATGAAAACAAATGTCGTCTCTGAGATCAGCACAGAAAAATACAGCCATCCCAGCACATATTTCACGTATCTCTCTAATGAAATACACGGCAGTATTAACAATGCATCATTTCATGTCTCACGGTTGTGTAGGCTAAGCACATTTTGAGATTTTTGAACAGTGCGTTTGGAGCAGCCTTCTTCCTTCACACACCCAGGAGAGGTTTAAATTTCTCCAGATGTTAAAAGAAATGAAGCAGGTATGAAAGATTCTGTATTACAGATTTTCTTATCTGTGCAAAACTCACCGCCACAATGATAGTGTGATGTATGTGGTTGCTAAGGTATTCTGGATGGTTTCTAGGGCGTTGCGAGGGTTTTCTGGGTAGTTGCTTACTGGGATAGATCAGAAGAACTCACGTCAAGTCTCTGGATTTGGCTCAGGTCACTTCTTCAATGTAAGTTGTAGGATATCAGACCGAATCAGACAATCTAAGATTTGGTCAAACATGGCTGAAACCTGAGGAGCCCATAATTCCACAAGAGGCCCAAGACACAGGATGTCGTAAATCAGATCCTGGCCCCAAGCCTGAACCAACTAGCAGCTTTGAGTAGCTCACAGCATTTAAACAGAAGAACACTTATTGACAATTCCAAGGAGATTGTCAATTCTGGGGCAAGTTATCAAGAATAATGGCCAAAAGAGATGCACAGCGTGACCGTCACATGGTAACCTGTAAAATCTACGTCAATTCCCTTTGAGCTAAATTGACCTGTTTCCCTTACAAAGTCTATGAATTTTTTTTTCCCGTTTTATAGCCCGCCATGTATAAATCATATATCTGATCACTTAATAATAAACATAAAAAACATTTTAATAAGCTGTATGATTTGAGGTATCATTCATGTCCATAGGTTAAAGGTTTTCTAGTGATAGTGTAAAGACCGGAAGCACCAGTAACTAGACAGCACTTCTGCATCTGCTTTTCTTTCCCCTCTGAACGCAGAAGTTATTAAGGCCCTCGTAGTCTGATCTGGCCAGACTTCAGAGCATTAATGTGTGGGATTGTTTGTGTGCTGCTTAGTGACATTAGGTGTGGTGGGAGGGCCTGAAGCCTCATTTGTGTTAATAAAATGTCTCAAAATAGTTTGTGTAATGGAATTATGGTTGTTGCGGAGACTCTGGGAGACCTCAATTAAGGTGATAAGCAAATGAAAATAAGTTTCCCACAATGGTCTGCCTGTGTACAGTAAACACCGGGAGGAAACAGGAAGTGATCTGACAGAAAGATTTTTAAAAGAGGGCATAAATCTCTGTATTACTGTACAGCACTCTTCCAAGCTGTTTTCCCAAAGGTCTCTTGCTCTGAACAAAAGGAGGATTTGAAACTTCCTCCTCAGAGATAAAATGAGGAGTAATATATACTTCCAGTAGACTATGGCTAAATATAACTTGAGGTATGTGAATTTGATAAACTAATTTGGATAAGAAAAGCCTCATGAATTGATCATTCTCAGCACTGTAGTAGAGCATGATGATTTACAGCAGCAAGTGGCTGACAGATTAATTTTTTGACTTATGATTCCTCACCTTCTTCTAAAGTAATACTTGCGTTTGTGTTTGTATTTGTATGCCACACTTCAATGCATTTCAGTGCATTAGATAACGAAATATGCAAGAAAGTGGCATCAGAAAACAAATGAATCTCAAGCTTTTCTCAGTTCTTTTTAATATTTTTTTTAGATCTATTTTTTAATTATCAATTAATTAATTAGATTTTTATATTTTTAAAAATATATTATTACATTTTATATTTATACTTTTTTCTTGAAGTGAAAGTATAAGTTAATATTTTTGTATAATAAATGACACTTGGTTTGATATGTTTTTCAAGTACTTGCTACTTTTATTGACCAGATACAGTGGAAACGTCATTCCTTAGGACAGTAGCTGAAGGGTGTGTCTCTTAAGAGGATGAAGGAATGAGAGATTTAAAGGACCTCAGAGGCATCGCAGTTCTCAGGGTGTCCTGTTTCGGGAGGATGTCATTAAAAACATTCTCTTCCTGTCTCATCTGTCCAGGCTCTTTAAATATGCTGTCACACTCACTCTCAAAAGAATGACACAGATATACTATACTAGTGCACGGTCTGAGTGTTATTAAATGTTCAAGGCTTGTAGGCGAGGTCGTGAAGAGGTCGTACAAGCTAGTGGCTTCTGTCTGATTTTTGTTTGACTCCGCTGGACGAATTTGAAATTAATTTCAATCTAATGCAGTTTGGGTCTATATGTAGTAGTTTATAACTACACTATTGTTGCCAGTGAGGTTTTTTTAAATTTAAAAAAAAAAAAAAATTAATACTTTCATTCATTAAGGACACAGAGTTTCTTGAGCACTAATTCAGCATATTAGAATGATTTCTGAAGGATTTTGTGGCAACGAAGACTGGTGTAATGGCTGCTGAAAATTCAACTTTGCCATCACAGGAATAAATTACATTTTAAAACATAATAAAATAGAAAACTGATATATCTAATTGTAATAATATTTCACAATATTACTGATTTTATTGTGTTTTTGATCAAATACAGGTACATCTAAAAAAAATTGAATATCATGAAAAAGGTCAATATTTTTTGTCACTCATTTCAGAAAGTGAAACCCATATATTATATAGATTCATTACACACAGAGTGAAATATTTCAAGCCTTTATTTCTTGAAATTTTGATGTTAAACTTTCGAACGGCTGTGTGCAGTACCTCATGCTAAATATGCAAGTTACAAGTTTCAAGAAATATTCCTGGCCACACTGAAAGTAAAATGCAGAAACACTCCCCTGTCTTCCATTGCTCAACAAACAGGTAATCCCATCCCATGTTGTTATTACATGAAAAAAGTAGGGATACTCAAAAGAAAAGATTGCAATTTTGTTTGTGGTACAGAAATTATACACTTGGAAAACCAGGAAATATCAGGGAATTTCAGAAGTGTGACTGGAAATGTCATGGAAATTAATACAATCTTAAAAGGTTATGGAAAAGTCATGGCCATTTCTATAGTCTATATAATTTTTTCTTAGGCTAGAAATGACTTTATAATCTATATTTTAAAAAGCTTTTATTAGCCATTACAAATGACTGGAAAAGGCATGGAAAAGTCTATACTCTATATAAATTTTTCTAACTGTTTAGACTTTGTAAGTATGATCTCTGGAAAATGATTTCTAAAAATCCATGACTAAGAAATAACTGGAAAAATCATGGAAATTCATTGGTCAGAAAATGTGGAAACCCAGTAACTAAAGTAAGCAGAAATCAGTCTTAGTGTTTAATCCTTCCCTTTGGTATTGTCCTGCTTGCTCTGTTTTTCAACAAATACGGCACCTTTTTTCACTTTATTCCGACCCTAATCGATGCCCCATACATGCTTCATTTTTCACGGACAAGAAAGCAAAACAAACAAACAAGTGCTTCTCCTCCATCACTTAGACACGGCGTTCTGTCAAAGTTCCTCCAGACTGTTTAATGGTGAGTCAGGGCTGGTTCCATTAGCAATTAGAAGTGTTCAGTTTGGGACTCATTAAATTACTAGACCTCGTCAAAGGAGTCTGTGGTTACAGTATCCATCACAGGCTGTTCAGAGGCCTACACTTTGTCTTTATGCAAAAGAGCCAAGCTCTGCCAGTGGGCTTCATTCGTCAGTGCTCCGGTGCCAGAGCGGGTCACTCTCTCCTGATGACTGATTTGTCTGCTTGCCGTACCGACTAGTAGGGTGAGCTTACGTCTGGCTGAACGTATATTCATAAAGAGGATGAATGAATTCAACAAACATATGCTAAGCACATAGACTGCTCATGGTATATGTCTAGATGGTGAATTATATGCAAAAGAACATCTATTGGATCCTGAAACATGTCCAGTGAAAAGTGTGCAGGGAATTATGAGACTCTTTAAATCACAACAGGGATCATCTCTTGAAATATATGTGGAATTCTTAAGAACAAAGGAAAGAATGTTGGAACATCCCAACCTGCTAATTTTGTGTCGTAAATCTATGGGTATTGTGGTAAGGCTTATTCGCTATTCAGACAAACACCTTAAGCGTGGTTTAATGCACCGTGTGCAGTCTTTAACAGTGCTTGCATGTTTACTGTGCATGGCCACCTTAGAGTTTTTACAGCAGAATAAGGATTAATACAAAGAGTCTAGCATTCGTATGTGAGGTATGATGTCTTTCTTTACCACAGACGTCTCTCTTTTTCTCTGTTTTGTGTGTTTGTATAGGAGATCAGCCCAGTTGTGCTGAGACTGCCAACCCTCAAGTGTCTGTTACTAGGGTTGTGCTGTACGTGGGTCTTCTTGCATGTTTCTATAACACTGGATTAGACGGCAAATTGCATGATAGATTTACCAAATTCATTTCTAAAGTCAAAACAATATGCCTTGAACACAAACACATCAGTGGATAAGAATAAAACCAATACATGCACAAAGTGTGGATTATGTTGCACGTGATTTGGAAATACAGCAGAATTATGACAAGGCTTGTTTTATGGATTTAGCAAACTTGTGTTATTTGATAGCACTGTCTAATGCTGAATTAATAGTGTGTTCAATACTTGTCAGAATTATCGTAATTATGAGAACTTGGAGATTGCCTTCAGAATTGTTCATTTCTATCTAAACACAACTTAAAACTGATCTATGCGTGGCTTTGCTAATGGTAAAAAAATACTTAATCACTAAATGCTTTTTAATAAAAAATAATAAACAGTAAATTAAGAGATTTATTGTATTTTGTTTTACCTCTATTACATTGTTTCCTAATCTAGCTTTATTATAAATCTGGCATTGTATACTGTGAATATTGTTGCCTCTGTGATGAACGACTTGTGTTTCTCTTTTATAAGTCACTTTGATAAAAGCCTCTGCTAAATGCATAAATGGAAAAAAATGAATTTAAAAAATACATTAATTAGATATATTCACTTTTAAAATATTGAAGAACTAAGAAAGCACATTAGGTAGCATCAGCTATAATAAAATATAATAATAAATGTAGAGGTTGCTGCATTTCTGTCTTCATCTTTTGAAGCTACTGCCATTTTAATTGTTTTATATGATAAACTGTGAAGTAGAAAAATACAATTTGTAGTTGTGAGACAAAGAATTAAATGTTTTTTACAGTTTGGAACGTCATAATTACAGTAATTCTGATATTATATGAACGCACCATCAATGTATTAAAGAAGTTGTGAATAGATTTGTACTAGATGTGTTTATTTGTTTGGTTTCTCTGTTTTTCTTTCAGAACTTGCAGAAGTGCACAAGTAGAGAAAAAGGGTTAAACTGGGCTGACACACACACACACACACACACACACACAATTACATTTTTCACTTTTGGCATTTCTCTACATTTCTCTCCCCCTCTCTGTCTTGTTTTCTCTCTGATTCACAGTGGCATAGGGACACCACAGGACTGGCCTGGTTTGTACTGCTGGCACGGGTCACATGGAAAGATAACACACACATTACAAACGGCAGCTCTCAGGACACCCACAGCGTTAAACACCTAACAATAGGAACCACATCAACACTAGTGCAAACTTATAATTTAAAAGAGCTGCTATAATATTTCAAATGTGGCTGAGGTACAAAGTATGCTAAAAATGCAAGAAAAGACTTATGCATT